TATTTCGCAAGGTCGCGCATAATCTCATTGGAAAGAGCAAGTAAAACTGCATCGATTCATGTGCTCTTTGAAATTTTGAATCACATCTGAAGCAGTAAAATCGATATTTCAGAAACTTCAACTTTGTAAAATCAGGAAATTTTCTAGTATTTTGGATTTTTTTGAATAATTTCTGAGTTGTGCAGAAGTTTCTAACTCTCACCTTCGAGGAGGAACGAAAACCGAATCAAACTACATAACGTTTGATGTTCCCGATCGTTCGAAATAGTTCGAAATTTAGGGAACAAAAGTCAAAGGTAGCGAAAAAAAATATGAAAATCGGCATAGTATTTTGGATTTTTCTCCGAGAAACATTACTTCGACCCGAAAACATGGTTATTTTTGAAAGTGCCGAACAATGAATCTCGAAGTATGTTTCTCTGAAGAACTTTCCATGGAAATAAATTTTATCCGAATTTCCACCTGGAACCCCCTCGGGCCTCGGCTGAAAGTTTTCAGAAATTTTTTTTTCTCAGAAATGTCTAGAACACACTTTCGTAAGGTTATCTGATATGAAAACATTATCTGAAGCAAAAAATCCGATTTGCAGTCATTTCTGCGAAAAAAATATTTGAAAATTTTCAGACGACGAAGACCCGAGGCAAAAATTTGAATAAAATTTATTTGCATCGAAAATTCTTCAGAGAAACATGCTTTCATTAATTTTTGGGCGCTTTCGCATATAACCATGTTTTGGGGTCAAAGTCACGTCTTCTCGCTGGGCTCGTGCACTTTTACTTAAAGTTTTAACTTTTCTGAATGGCGTTTGAAAGTTGAAAAACCGCCGTTCAAGAAAGGGAGAACGACGGAAACTTTTCGCTTTTTTTAAACGCATTTTGAACCGAGCAGTACAAAAGTATCTTCATTTTCTAAAGTTTATTGTTGTATACTCTTTATTCTGCACTTCAAAAATGAACAGGTCGAAGAAATTCATACCAACCATGAAATTACTCGTCGCCGTCCGAACAGATGTACAAACTTACTTAAAAGAAGAAAAAAATATTTTGAATGAATCGAACAAAAAAGATGAGAGTACTGATGTCCATTTACATTCCTGGTGGCCTGAATTTATTGACGCCCTCTGCTATTTACCCTACCCTGACTCCTGTCGGGAAAGACTTGTACTTTCATTGAGAAGTTACTACGAGGGAAAGGATGAAGAGTTAAAGGCGTTAGACGAATTCGAACGTGACTACACTCCGGCTAAAGCTGTTCGTTGGTACACTCGGGACACATTCCTCTACCGAATCCTCAACCGAGCACTTCGTCAACACAACGTTCAGCTCTGTTTTCTCTTTGGATTCTTCGTCAGAGATTTGTACCGTCAACTCAAAGAAGAATATGAAAAACTCAAAGCAGCACAGCTGACATCCACCGTCTACCGAGGTCAGGTGATGTCATTAGATGAAATACAACGACTCAAGAAACGGTCCCAGTATGGTCTTGCAGTCAACAGTTTCTTTTCAACATCCGACAACCAGTCTGTATCACTCGGTTTTCTTCGTTGTTCTCCTTCAATCACTGATGGTCTCGCCAAAGTAATGCTAGAAATTGAACTGGATACTAGAAAAAATCGATTTCGTCCCTTTGCTCCCGTTTCTCATCTAAGTGAATTTTCAAACAAAAATGAAATTCTCTTTATGACTGGAATACAGCTGAGACGAGTTAAAGTGTCCTATAACGAAGACGAGCAGATCTATACAATGAAATTACGACTAAAAGATGATCGTACGGTAAAAGATGATGCTGATTTTCATAATTTATCAGCGAGAAAATTTTTGAAAAAGTGCAGTGATATGTTGTGTGACGCTATCAATAACGCGCAGGAGGTAGAAAGCGTAGGAACTATCTTTGGCGAGCTGATTGATTTGTTTCCTGCAGAAGCCGGATGGCTTAAAATTTCAGAACAAGAGTGTCTTGATCAACATTTTGACATTTATGACTTTTCCGTCGAGACATAAAAAAGTGAGAGATTACAATAAAGAAGTTTTGCAGTACGAAAATTCA